CTCTCTCTCAAGCGGGGTTTTTTTTCTTGGCAGGAGGTGGCACATCTTTCACTGAGTGTGGTTAACACTGCAAAGCAATAATTTTATTATTCTCTTCTTGTGTCGTGTGCTGTGCGCTGGTGTGTGGTGACAATTTGTATTTGCAGGCGAGTCCTGTAAGATATCTGAAATTCTGGGAAAACAAGAGCAAAGTGAAAAGGAAATGGATCCCTCATCTTTTTTTTTTGCCTGATACATATAATCTCAGGTCATTTTTGTTGAGAAATCGTGTCATAAGTAATTTTTTCTCAATTCATCAAATAAGGGGTGAAATACTTTTTCAGTGTTTTTAGATCTAGTATTTTTTTTATTGTTTATCTGTTAACGATTATCACGGCTAGTCAAGAGAGTTTGAGAGTATTGCATAGCTGCTAACCAGTTTTTAAAAAAATGTATTCAGTACATTTATAAGGATCTGAGTCATAAGTATGTTTTTGTCAGAAAATATGTATTCTGTATTTTCTAGTATTGGGCCTCACGGACTTACCAATGCTGAAATGCTGAAGAAATATTATAAACTTTCAAGAGAGGTTTTGTGAATAATAATTAGAAAAGAAGCTCAAAAGTCGATTGGTTATTGTTTTGGGTTTTTTCGTCAAGTACTCATCATCTTGACCAGCAGCCTATGTAGGGTGTTTTTGGGGGGGGTTAAAAAAAATGTTCAGCTACGGTGTTGTAAATCCTTGTCAGTGTGGGTCTATATTTCGGAGGTTTCTTCGGTTTACTAGAATGCTCATGGTATTTTTACCCGGAGTAGAATTTCAGCTCCTGCCAGATTGATTTATATCCATATTACACTGGTTGCCTTTGTCAGTGCTAATCACTTGTAGAAAAAGAAATGTGAAGTGGAGTTATTGGAAACTTGGCTTTAAAAAAAGGTGATCAATAGATTAGACAATGGTGTTGCTAATCTGATACTTTAACGATTACATCACAACCATGTTTATTCTGGGTTTGAGGTCTTCTTTTTCTGTTAATTTTACATTGATCATTGTTAATCATTGTTAAATGTTTCCCCCTGGTGTGCCGACTTGTCCTTTAGGACCACTTAACAATCATCCTCATCTTCATTAATCCCTAACCTTTCAGGTGGGAGGTTGGAGGGTGCAAGTGGTAGGTCCAACTTTTTTTCTCATCCTTTTTTTTTTCAATCTATCTGTCTTGCTCTTTCCTGCACCATATGACCTTTATAATGTCGATGCACTTCTCTTTACTCAATCAAACAAACAATGCCTTGCTTCTTCCCTGCATGTCATGACCGTTATTGTGTCAACAATGTGCTTCCTTTAACTCAAACTTAAACTCGTGGGTGGTTGGCGGGTGCTTTGGTGTAGTTTGCTTCTTCTTTCTTATCAAACATCTATTGTCCTTATGTCCCCTTCTTCTTTTTTATGTCTGTTACTCTCTTGTAACACCTTCAATCTTCTGGCGCTCATATGACCTTATGCAATTGCAAGCGTCATAAAACCTCTACTAAAACTAAAAAAACTTAAAACTAATTGAAACCCTTACCTTTCAGAGGATGGTTTCCTGAAGATCTACATCCGTGGCCGTGGGGTCAGCCTGTATGCCTCGTCCAACCTGTCGGAGTACAACATCAACAAGACCAGCGAGGTTCCCCCGGAGAAGTTGCAGTTGGAGTGGGTGTATCCTTGACTAATGGTTGAGTCACCACCGACGAGTTAGCTCTCACCCCCCCCCCCCC